ATTGTGGTCGGTGCTAACCGGGCCACCCTCGGCAGCAGCCGGGTCACGGTCAGAGCTGGGTTCCGAGCTGTCTGCCGTTGGGCTCCGCTGAGGCGCCTTGTCGCCTGGGCCGTTGTCGTCCACCTCCGTGGCAGAGCCCGAGCAGGATACAGGAGGAGGAGACTCGTGGGGGTTTCCAAAGTCGGGTGACTCCACCTTCTCAGTAGGAGGGATCACGTCTTCACCGCTCTCGTCCTTGACAGTGTGGTCGGGCGGGTCCGGGAGACCCAGACGCGCGTCGTCGTCTCTCGTGCCCAGGGATTTGTCTGCGTCGGCCGCAGTAGGGGATGCCAGGTCTGTCCTCGCTCATGGTCTGCACGTGTGACTCGGCCAAGGAAGTGATGGTCGTCGAGGCAAGGGCGTCGGCGCTGAGGCTGAGCAGGAAACTCGTCAGTGTGCCCATTTCGTGTCTGATGGGGCTGAGGCCACTCGCCGGGGCCAGGATCGAGTCGCGCCTCTCCCAGGACTCCTTATGCTTCTAGCCGTTGGTGAGGTGGGCGACGACTCGCGCCGCGGCCAGCCGTTTACCCTCCCAGCGCTGGTTGAGCGGGACACAATCCTCAGGGGTGCATTCGCCGTACGCCGTCCTGAGGAACTCCGTCAGACGTCCGCCTGGCCAGGAGGCTTCGTCACTCCTAGGCTCTGGGATTCTGCTGTCGCGGTTAGTGAGACAGAACTGTCTCCAGGTGTAGTCCAGCCCAGGGTGGAAGTCCCGGAGGTAGGTCACCAGGAGTCGCTGTGCGGGCAGGCCCCCGCTGCCCGGTCCGCTCCTGGGGTCGTTTGGGCTCAGCGTGGGGTTGTTGACGTCCCTGCTGTCCAGGGGCGGGCCCTGCGGGACTGGCAGCTCTGGCAGGAGCTCCATGAGCTGTGCTAGGGACCTGGGGGCTCGCTCGGCAGCGGAGGCAGCGCCACCCGCGGCGCTAGACCCAGGGAAGTTTGTCGCTCCCGCCTTGGTGAAGCGATCTTGGGCCTTGGCGTCCGCGCCTAGCCATGGGAGAGACCTGAATATGTCCACTGGTACCTCAGCTCCGATCTGGCTGTTGAGCGTCGGGGGGACAGGGGCCTCGGCTGGGTGCAGCGCTCTAGAGTCCCTATCAAGGATGTGGTCCAGGATAGCAGGACCGATATTCCATGCAGGGACCAGGCAGCGTCGGCAGCACCAGGTGGCGCTCCAGCTGCGCCCCCACCAGGCTATGGCCCGCCTGTCGATGGGAGGCAGCCCGGCCTGCTCGGGAACCCCTACCCCCTCCGCTGGCTTCCATATGAAACAGCCCAGGGGCGGGGCACCTGTGTTCCAGACGAGGAGCGGGGCCCCTGGGGGGCATGTGTCGCGCCGAGCGGAGTAGATTTGGCTCTGGGCAGCTTTGAGGCCGAACCGTTCGTCTCGGATCCGTAGGATGGGTATGGTGGTGTTGGCGCGCTCAGGGATCTGCATGCCGGTCGGCGTCATGATGAGGTCCGATAGCGACCTCGTGTCCGCCTGGGGGCTGCATCCAAAGCCAAGTGGGAGGTGGCCCAGGGAGGGGGGAGCGTCCGCCTTGTCGTTGCTTGCGGCACCCGTCCTCTGTTGTTCGTGCTCCTTGACCTTGTCGGCGATTGTCGCGCCTGTCGGTGCTGGAATGCCCTGGTCCTCCAGGTATCGGATCCAGCAGGTCTCGCAGTGCCACCCCATGTTTGCACCGTTGAGGTAGGCCTGGGGCCTGTTCTGTGCTACCATCAGGCGCGTGTCGTCGGAGATCCACGTGCCATCGGTGGAGCGTAGCTGGTCCCTACCGCAGCTGTCGCACCTGAACCTGCAATTTTTCTGCTCGGGTGTCAGCCTGTCGTCGGGAATGCGCGGAGGGTCCTGCTTGGTGCCTGGGGCGGGGGTGGACGGCAAGGGGGCGTTGAGGTCGGTGTTGGATAAAGCGAATCCGCCGCCGATGTATGCGAGCCCCGCAAGCCGATCGTCGTCGCCCAAGGAGGCGTCGGATCCCGCCAGCGCGACGTGTAGCGCGCACACCGAGCAGCGGTGCGTACCCAGGGAAGCCAGAGAGGCGGCTGGGACGATCTTCTCGAGGACGAGCATCGGCGCCTTCAACTGAAAGTCCTGCCTGTCCATTTCACTCCAGGTCTGCGGGCAGCCGGCTGCCCGCGCATCCGGGTGGTGGTGCGCCACCGCCACGAGCTTGGAGATGTGGGGCAGGATTGCCTCGCTGCGGCCGTGGGGGTCGGCTAGGTCGTCTAACGTGAGCCCCCAGGTTCGTGCAAAGTCGTGCCGGTACCCTCGGTGCGCCTCCTGCCAGGGGACACAGAAACCCAGGATGGCTTCGATGACGTCCCCGGTCTGCTCTGCGTGAGGGAAGGGCCACAGGAACACGCGTGGCTCGCGGAGCATGAGCATCATGACGACCAAGAGCGACTGGGCCTTGCAGGATTCCATGGGGAGGCCGTCGGTGTCTATAATCTCCTTGCGGATCTGGTCCCGCTTAGAGTCGTCGGAAGCGCCACGGAGGATGTCCTGTAGCCCGGCCATTCCAGGGTGCTTCCTGTGCCTGCAGCAGTCCTTGGTTGCAGCGCTCCACGCCTGGGGAACCTGCCGGAAGAGTCCCTTGGGGGTACACTGGCGCCGCCCACAGAGTGTTACACGCCTTCCTTTGACGTGTGGTACTGGTGGAAGGGAGTCGTCGTGGATTGTGTAGTTCGCGTCATGCCAGGGAGTGCCCAGGCCGAGCGTCCACACCATTGCGGCCCAGAGCATGTTGTAGACTAGATTGGTTGCGTCTAGACCCAGGGACATGTCGAACAGGAAGCCCAGGTGCGACCAAGCCTTGCGGTCGAGTTTGCCCGGTTGTCGCGGTGTTTCCGCCAGCGAGAACTCGTGCGGGTGTAGTCCTGCCACCAGATAGATGAGCACGTGGAAGGCAGGCGTCGAGAGAATCTCGTTGAGGCCGGCCGAGATGAGCTTACCCAGGGAGTCCCAGTCGAAGTCCTCATCCAGGGGAGTGTTGTAGCGCTCGGCGAAACCGCTCGCCTGGGCGTCACGTGCTTTCTTTTTGGCCGCATCCAGCTCAATTTTCCCGCTCTCCCCCTTTGCGTCGCAGCTCCAGGCAACAGGTGAAGGTACCCAGGTGGCGAGGGCGGGCAGCGGGTCGAAGCTCTCGTCGATGACCAGGGATCTCCTGTGGCCAGCGGGGGCACTGCCCCCGAAACGAACCCAGAGACGGGTCAAGCGCCCGTACTCAGAGAGCACACGCAGCTGGGACCAGGTGGCATTGGCGAACATGCGCCCGTCTCCCAACATCAGGATGTTCCGCTTGGCCCGGGCTGGTGGGGATACGCGAAGCGTCTAGAATTGTGGACAAGCAGCGGCGAGCTTCAAACGGCATCGGCGACGGATTCTTGGGCACAGGCGGCGCCCACCAGCCGATCGTCATGTTGTGCGACGCCAGCAGAGGAATCGACTCCAGGGACCCATCCTTTTGACGGGTCGGAGGCAGCATGGTACGTGTAAGGTCAATGTTCTTGGTGCGTCGAATGGGCCTCTTCGAGGAGACCAGCATTCCGCGCCGAGAGGAAAGTTCATGATGCTGCCCATGGCGGCCACTCCCACTACAGACCGTGCAGTGTATGTCACAGACAATCAGATGGTGTATTGTATGATGGATGACGTCAGGAATCGTGTCAACGGCCGAAAAGGGAACTCGCAGAACTGCGGGTCAGAATCGGCACATGATCCCAAAATCGGTGTGCAGGCCACTTTGTTGTCTGTCTCGCCCGCTTCCAGAGTACCGAAGCTGCTGGTGTACCGAAGTGGCTGGTGCACCGAAGTGGCTGGTGAAAGGCAAAGCCTAGGCAGACACGGTGGCAGGCAAAGCGGCCAACCAAACGAGGCTGCCGCCGCACGGCAGCCTCGCAGGCCCCTCTGCAAACAGGAGCGTTCCTGGCCAGGATGAGGCTCCTCCGCGCGGCAAAAGCGCGGGCTGAGGGCTGCGGCCTTGGAGAGTGGACTCGGTGAGTGGTGCGAGTCACGTCCATCCAACTCCTCTTTCTGTATGCGCCCAAGCTTCGTTGCCTCTGCCGTGCCCCGAAACCGTCTCTATGATGTCCAGCGCGCGCGCTGGACGACTCGGGATGCAAGTGTCGCAAGTGCAGGGGGTCATCGTCCGTTGCCGAGCTCTCAACGTGGAGAGCCTCCTCGTGCTGTAAGGTCATAGCGTTAGATGGCTGCCTGGAGGTTGTTCCGCACGGGAGAGCGCTGCACGTCGCTGGGGGAAGGGTGCAAAAGCCTCATTGTCTTCGGTATTATCAGGGTGTGAATATTTGACTCTACGAAGTATGCAGCATGTTCGCCGACCAACGGCTTTGGGCAATGGGTCGGCCATGCTTGAGCGTTGCCACCGCCATCCGTGCTGGCTTCTTAACTAGAATTCAAAAAGGCTTGCGGCCCATGGTGTACAACAAACCCGAGCTGGCCAGAAAATCCCTCAAGGGGTCCCCGTGTTGAGGTACGTTTGGGCATAATCCTTGGACTCCTACTCGTCCTCTTACCCCCCACTGCTCCCCCGCCCCCCCCTGTGCTCACCTCTCATCCTCCTCCCATCCCACCCCGCACGTACCCAAGTCCGCCCACTCCTCTTCGGGCGGGTTATGGGGGCTACATGGAGGGTGAAGAAAAGGCCCTCAAGGGCCCTTGTAGGGTCCTCTTCTTCACCCCCCATTCAGGCCATCCACCGTTACCACCCGCCCGATACCCTTCCCCCCGCCCCTCCAGGGGCCCGCCCCGTCCCAGCTCTCCCAGCCGCGCCCCGCCGCCGCGGTGATGAGCACCGCCTAGAAACGCTCCACAGCAACGACTTCTCCTCATGACGCCGACGACGCAGGCGGCGGCTTTCCCCGCCGACGATGTCGGCCGCTCAGAAAGCCCCAACGAGACCCCGACGGCGCCGACACTCCCCGCCGACGGCGTCGGCGGCGGGCGCCTGGTCAGCTCGTCGTGCGATGCGTGGCAGAGCTTGCATAAGACTCCATCCTCGCGGCGAGGGTGCGGCGGGGCTCGCGCGGCGAAGGGGCGTTCGGTGGACGACGAGGGCTCCTCCTCCTCCTGCCTCATCTTCCTTCTCTCCCTCCTGCTCCTCTTCCTCCTCCTTTGCCGTTTCCTGCCTCCTCCTTTTCCTCCTCCTCCTTCCCTCCTGCTCCTCCTCCTCTTCGTCGCCGTCGTCGTTGTCCTCCTCCTCCTCCTCCTCGTCCTCCTCCTCCTCCTCCTCCTCCTCTTCCTCTTCCCTTGACTCTCTCATTTCCTCCTCTTCCTTCTTCTCCTCCCTATTATTCCTCTTTATCCTTTTTCTCATATTTGTCGTTCTCCTCCTCCTCGTGTTCCTCTGCCTCACTGCTTCGCCTCCCTTTGCAAAGCCGTCCCTGCTCCTCCTCGTTCTCCCCGTCCTCCTCTTCCTCTCCTCTTCCTCTCCTCTTCCTCTTCCTCATCCTCCTCCCTTCTCCCTCCTCCCCCCCTCCCTCCGTCGTCCTCCCCAAGCAGCCATGGCGCCGCTGCCGTTGGGGGGGGGGGCGCCCGGGAAGAATTCCCCCCCGACGGGCGCGCAGCGGGACCTCTCTCCCCAGCACCGGGGTCCTTGCAGCCCCGCCGGGAGCGGACGAACTTGCACGGGGTGCACTCCTGGGGCGGGGGAGGAAGACCGTTGCACGCCGCTGCAACAAGGTCGTATCGTGATGGCACCGGCGTCCGTTTCCGACACCGCATGATTCATTGAACCATGAACGATCCGTGGGTTTTCGATCGCCAGGTCGTCCCGCATCGGTCGATTCAGGGCCACCGGCGGCGCGCAACCTCGAACGCCACGGCAGGGTGGCCGCCGCGTCGACACGACGACGCGAACCAGCCACCAGAGGAATGATACGCGTACCATGCACAAGCCTACACACACGCACGCACACCCACACACACACGCACACCATTATACGCACACACACGCACGCACGCACGCACGCACGCACAAACACACAAACACACAAACACATAAACACACACAAACACACAAACGCGCAAACACAGAAATACACACACAAACACACAAACACCACAAGCAACACAATCACACAGGCACACAGGCACACAATCACACAAACACAATAACACACAGGCACACAAACACACAATCACCCAAACACACAAGCACACATGCACACACACGCACACAAACACACAAAACACACGCGCACGCAATCACATAAAAAAGGCAAGCGCACAAACACGCACACACAAACGCGCAAACACACGTACACAATCACACAAGCTATAGACGCACACTTACATAACACACATAAACAGAAACAACTACACACGAACACGCCCACGCACTCACAACCACATGTATACAAATTTACTCATATACACAAACTTGTACACATGTACGTACGTATACGCGTGCAAACATGCTTGCGATTGTGTATGTAAAAACGCATGTGCACAACGACGTGTGTAGACATGTGGATACACGTGTGCATCAGAAACACGGGGCCGAGCGGTCGTACAGTGTCCCTGGATGCGTGGCTGAAATGGAAATCCGCGGCGCGGATTCTGTTTGTTGTTCTTGCGCTGCGTTGCGTGGTTGTTTTCGCCGGCCCACCCGCGACCCGGCCCGCGACCCGGCCCGCGACCCATCTGCGACCCGCCCGCGATCCACCCGCGACCCACCCACGACCCATCCGCGACCCGCCCGCAACCAGCCCACGACCCGCGCGCGACCCGCCCCGCGACCCACCCGCGACCCGCCCCGCGACCCATCCGCGACCCGCTCGCGACCCACCCGCGACCCATCCCGCGACCACCGCGGCGCGACATTCTGCGACATCAGAACGTGGGGGCCCCGACTGGTCTTGCGCCGTCCCTGGGTGCGTGGCTGATGCGGGAGTTCGCGGCGCTTATCATGTTTGCTGTCATGTTGTCATGTTCGTTATTGTTATTGTAGTTGTTGTCGTTGCTGTTGAATGTTGAACCATGAGACTAAACAGTTCTTCCTGTTGGACACCTGAGTGCGCTTTCGCACTCTTGCTACGCGCCAACTGCGTTTCGTTTGGAATAAGGCTCGCGCTCAGGCGGTTCGGGGTTCCGCCAGAACTGGCCCCCCAACGACAGCAACGCCCCGGCTCGACACTTCCTCCTTTCCCACTCGGGGCTCGCTCGCCCCCCACAGCCGCTTCCGCGCGATGCTTCTCTACTTTTCACCTCGGGACCAGCGCCCCCGCCTCGGGACCCCCCACGAACGACGGCGCTGCCGCTCGACACTTCCTCCGCTTTTACTCGAGACTCCCAAAAGGCCCTGAGGCTCCCTTACTCCCTGTTGAACCTTAATTATGAAACAATTACCATTGTTGGACATCCTGAGTGCGCTTTCGCGCCCTCACGCCTGCTCCGCGCGACCGCGCTGTCGCCCGTGTCCTGGGGCGTGGCGCCGTCTCGGGAGCCTCGAGACGGGGGTCAATGCAAACGGGGGTCAGCCAGGGCACCGGATCCTGCAGGACCCTGCGAAGACCCCCTCAGGCTGACCCGGGTTAGCGAGCCGCTCCTGGCCGCGAGGCGGCCGCGCATATTGGCTGACCCGGGTTTGCGAAGACCTGCGTTGCAGTTTTTTTCCTGCATTGCAGCTTTTTTGTTCCCTGCTGACCTGGGTCTGGATTGACCCGGGTCAGAAGATCCCCGATCGTCGCCGTCGTCGTCGGCGCCGGCGCCGCCGCCGTCGTTGTCGTCACTGCCGAATTGTTCAAATCGAACACCCCGAATGCGCTTTCGCGCTGTGGCGCCTGCTCCGCGCGACCTCGCTCTCGCTCGTGTCCTGGGGCGTGGCGTCGTCGTCGTCGTCGTCGTCGTCGCCGCCGCCGCCGCCGTCTTCGTCGTCGTGCTCTGGAGGCTGTCGGGGGCTCCTGGAACTCCTGGAGGCCTAGGGCCAGGGTCATTCATTGGAGGAGGAACGCAGGGAGGAGGAGGAGGAGGAGGAGGAGGAGGAGGAGGAGGAGAAGGAGGAGGAGGAGGAGGAGGATGAGGATGAGGATGAGGAGGAGGAGGATGAGGAGGAGGAGGAGGAGAGGGAGGAGGAGGACGAGGAGGAGGACGAGGAGGAGGAGGAGGAAGTCGGGCCAGTCTTTCACTGAGGGATTGTGTCCGCAGAGGCTCCAGAGGCTCCAGAGGAGGAGGAGGAAGAGCAGGAAGAGGACGACGACGACGACGAGCCCAAACAGCATCAGAAAACGGCCGACGCAAAACGGGCCCCTGGGAGGGGGTCGAAAGCCTCGGAACCTAAGCTCTGAAGGTTCTCTCAGAAACTCTGTAAGCTCTCCACTGGGCGCCCCCAGAGGTTGTGAGGCTTTTCCCTGAGGTCTTCAGCCAATCAGGCTGATACATGCAAGCAAGGCCTGGGCAGGGGGATCGCGAAGGCGATGGAGCTATATATTCTCCGCGATAACGGACATGCTCGGGGGGGGGGGGGGGGGGCCCAGTCACATCGCGGCGGGTTTCGGCCTCCCGGGGCCGTTTTCGAACCCCCGGGCCCTCGGGAGGAGGAACATAAGGAGAAGGGAGAGGGAGCAGAGGAGCAAATAGGGATTCAGGAGGAATTCCTGGGTTCATCTTGAGATTATGCTGCTGCTGCTGCTGCTCCTTTTCCTCCTCCTCCTCCTCCTTTTCCTCCTCCCCTCCCCTCCCCCTCCTCCTCCCCCTCCTCCTTTTCCTCCTCCTCCTCCTCTTCCTCCTCCTCCTCCTTTTCCTCCTCCTCCTCCTCTGCTCCTCCTCCTCCTCCTCCTCTTCCTCCTCCTCCTCTTCCCTCCTCCTCCTCCCTCCTCATCGTCCTCTTCCTCCCCCTCCTCCTCCTCCTCTTCCTCTTCCTCCTCCTCCTCCTCCTCCTCCTCCTCCTCCTCCTCCCACTCCCCCTTTCCCTTCTTCCCTGGTCGTCGTTGTCGCCGTCGTCCTCCTCATGCGGAGGAGTGGAGAAGATACTCAGGAATCTGTTTGTGAACGTTCGGGGGGCGCGTATCCACACGTATATGAGCGTTCGGGGAGCTCGCCTGTATGACATTTGATCGCGATGATGCTGCAAACTCTTGCGCAACGTTTCCCTTTCACGCGCTTCCCGTTCATGTGAGGAAAAGTTTGGAAACACAACGAGCGTTTCGGCAGAGACATCCTCGCCACATCGTGAAATTGGGGGGTCGTATCTTAAGACGCATGTTGCTAAACATGGGCGTTTCGCCTGAGACATCCTCGGGACATGGGGATGTTGAAATCGTTGGTCTATTTCGCGAACCTCCAAAATGAGCGTCTCGCTGGAGACATCCTCGGCGAAATGGGACGCACCAGGCGCACTTGTAAGGCATACTTTTGGAACGATCTTAGATGACCCCCAAGATGGCCCAAACGTTTCGGTTAAAAAACAGCGTATCGCTCGAGATATCTCTTGAATAAGCCCTCCGAACGGGCCCTCGAAACCGTATGGTTTCCACTTCTCCTCCCCCTCCTCCTCCTCCTCCTCCTCCTCCTCTACCTCCCGGTCGCGGACAATAGCGACGACGACGGATTCCTGGGAAATGAGATTCCATGGGGGCCCTGGAAGATTCCTTGAGACACGCGGGGAAATCAGCGCGACGTGATGGGGGGAGGGGCGGGTGCGATCACGAGCGTTATCGCCCGGACTAAGAAAAAAGAAAAAAGGCTCATGTGCTTCCTGGGCTGGAGATGTTGAAGTGCCTCGGGAGAGGTGTTATCAACACCTCCTCGGGCGGGAGATCAGGGAGGGAGAATATCGTATCCCCGCGTGCAAGAAAAATCCCCCATGATGGGGGGACGCTATCATGACATAGACATGCTGCATCTTGAAACGCATCGAACATTCGGGTCAAACGAACAATTGTTGGTGCCCGCCCGGTAACTGTTCTATTTTTGAAGTCAGGTCCGTCTCCCCCAGGAGCCCCGAAACCTGCTGCGCAGGAGCCCCCTGGGAACCCACCGGCCGCAGAGCATCCTAGAGGGCTCTCGCCCACGGCCGCAGCGGCGCCGACCAGCAGCACCGCAGACCCCAAGAACGCTCACGCAAACGCCAACGATTGCACATTGCGGGCCGGCGGAATGAGTGCTTCCTGCAATCTTCCCACCACCGCGTTTTCATGCCTGACCCCTGTTCCTGAGCCCTCACGACCCCTTCCCAGGGTGCGAATTGCCCGTCGCTCTAAAAGTTGACAAACTCGGCATCGATATCCGATCTCGTATCGCTGCCAGATCGTTCTCGCACTCGTACTCGCTATCGCTCCGCGCGCGAGGGGAGCGATGTGCCTCTTTTTGGTCAGCCGAGAGGCCTCTCGAGCTCAAGCGGCAGTAGTCACGCGCGCAACTTTACATGCAATCGCGCTTGAAACATGCCATATTGCGCGGCCGACACTGGCCCGCACAACTTTACACGCAATCGCGCCTGCCCCACTGCTCTGCTTGCTGAAGGGGCGGGAAATATCTAACAACATCATGTCAGAAACCCTCGAAACATCCATTGTCCGGAGTACAGTTCACACTTGTGAAAAAGGAAACGAAAACATGTAAAACTCTCGCCTTATTCACGCGATAACCTTCGCAGCAGCTAGCAAATCATTATCGCTGACTCGACCGCCCAACCTTGC